GCTTAACCTGCCGAGCCTGCCCTCTGAGCCAAACCTGAATACTCTTCTCTGGATTCCCATGCAGCTCTTGGCAAAGAGCTGGAAACCCCAAACCAAGGTCTACCTTCAAGTCAGAAGTAAGACGCTGAAGCGGTTATTGGACTCTGCTGAACTAAACAGTCTCTGGACCCAACAGTTCCTCTCTCAAAGCAAAACCCGGACTAATCAAGGTATTCTTAAGAAACTCTCAAACTCTTCAGTCCCAGACCTAACTGAACTGTCATCCTTACAGACTCCAGTGAACCTGCCCTCCGGCCTGAACCAGTTCAAGTGTATTATTTCATGTGCTTGTGCATCAATAAACTCTGTTAAACTTTTCATCAGACTCCGTTGTGTTCTGCATATTGGGCTTTTCTGAACCCATCATGACAGAACACTGCGGCCAAACACAAGGCCCAGCAGACCACCTCCGTCGTCGGTTGGAGGAGCAAGACGCTCAAATCCAAGGACACGCTCAGGCCCTCCGTGAGTTGAATACCCACATTGAATTACAGAACCAGATGATCCAAACGTATGCTGGCGACATGGATAGCGCTAACACTGCATCAGCAGCTCAACCTTTTCCGGGTCCGTTTCTGCCTCCGAGGTCACCGGCTGTGACGTCATCACCAGATTTCCGCCCTAGTCTTCCTGAAAAGTTTTCAGGTAATATGAAAGACTGTAAAGGATTTTTGTTTCAGTGCCGTCTAATTTTTCAGAANCCTAGTATCTCCTGAGAATCTTTGTTGTCTCTTATTAGATTGGATTCTAATACCTCCTTGTCTCTGCTTTCAGGAATCCTCTCCCTTGTAAGCTCTGGATGAGCTTAACCTGCCGAGCCTGCCCTCTGAGCCAAACCTGAAGACTCTTCTCTGGATTCCCATGCAGCTCTTGGCTAAGAGCTGGAAACCCAAACTCAAGGTCTGCCCTCAAGTCAGAAGTAAGACGCTAAGGCGGTTATTGTACTCTGCTGAACAGAACAGTCTCTGGACCCAACAGTTCCTCTCTCAAAGCAAAACCCGGATTAATCAAGGTATCCATCTGAAACTCTCTAACTCAAGATCTTCAGTCCACAAGCTAACTGAACTGTCATCCTCACAGAATGCAGTGAACCTGCCCCCCGGCCTGAACCAGTTCCTGAGTTTATTCCATGTGCTTGTATCAATAAACATTGTTAAACTTTTCATCTGTCTCCGTGGTGTTCTGCATACTGGGTTTATCTGAAACCCATCATGACAGAACACTGCGGCCAAACACAAAGCCCAGCAGATCACCTCCGGAGGAGGCTCGAGGAGCAGAATGCCCAAATCCAAGGACATACCAGAACCCTCCGTGAGTTAAATGCATTTATGGAACATCATAACCAGACCTTACAGACTTTCGCTGGCTATTTTGGAAATGCTAACGCTACGCCAGCAGTACTTCCTGTTCCGGATCCACTTCCGCCTCTAGGGTCACCGGCAGGGACGTCATTTCTTGAATTCCGCCCTAGTCTTCCTGAAAAGATTTCAGGTAATATGAAAGACTGTAAAGGATTTTTGTTTCAGTGCCGTCTAATTTTTAACTCTCCTGGCAGTTTCCCAACTGATCAAAAGAAAATAACATTTATTCTGTCCCAACTAACCGGACGAGCCCTAGAGTGGGCGGAGGCAAGGTTTGCCTCCGAAGACAGCCTCAGTTGTAAATTCTCTGATTTTGTTTCTGAATTTTCCCAATTATTTAACCAAGAATCTGACCAAACAATTGACTCTCGTGCTCTTTTGAATCTTAGACAGGGAAATTCCTCTGTAGCAGATTTTTCCATCAACTTCCGGGTCAAAGCCGCAGCTTCCGGATGGAACCAATGTGCTCTCAAGAGTGCATACTTTAAGGCTTTAAATGAGAATATTTAAGACGAACTTGCAACCCTCGACGAACCAGCAACTCTAGAGGAATTAATCCGTCTGACTATTAGGTTGGATAACAGAATCCGAGCCAGAAACAGTTCAAAACCAAGGAATCAAGGTTTTTTTGAGTCAGCCCCTGCATCTAATAATGCAACTGTTTTTTCTGGTCCCACAGAATCCGTTTCCAAACCGAGGCCTAAAACCCAGTCACTCTCTTTGCCAGTACAGGTCTCTCATGCAGTGGAGACGGAAGCCGAACCCATGCAGGTTGGACATACGAGGCTAACTCCTGAGGAAAGGCTAAGACGTTTCAGAGGCAAGTTATGCATCTACTGTGGTGAGACTGGCCATTTCATCGCTTCATGCCCTGCTAAGTTAAAAGCCGGGGCCCGTCAGAGGATCTGAGGAGTCTGACGGGCCATTTGAACTCTGAGAAATCTCCTCACCTGATGCTCCCAGCCACCTTGTTTTTCTCTGATCAGAATCTTACATTATCTGCCTTCATCGATTCAGGCTGTGAACGGAATTTGATAGACTCCAACCTGGTTCAGCAGCTACAAATTGAAACCATTCCTCTAACCCAACCTCTTAGTGTCTCCGCTATCGATGGGAAGAGACTCCATCAGGTTACCCACCAAACGCAACCCCTTGAGCTGTTAATCTCAGGTAACCATCGTGAAACCT